ATTAGGCTACTGATCATGTTATTTTATGCTCAACGTAAGGACAGTAGTTGTACAAATCTAATTATGCATATGAAGACCAGAATTGTCAAAGTGAATGTCGATAGTTTAAGCTTTATGTAAATAATTCATGGAAAAACAATGCGGTATATTCGGTGGGGTTTGATGGATGATTAAAAAAACTTCATGTAGTTATACTTGGTTCCCTACTATCAATTAACAGAACTAGTAATTGATATTAAATGTCTCTCACTTAATCAGATAGAACGATTTTCGGAAATTCGATGACGGTTGTACTGACTGTCCACATATATATATATATATATATATATATATATATATATACTAGGATGAAACGACCGTCCAGTATTGCCTGGTTTATAACGGTGCTACAAAAGTTTGTTACTGATGCCACCTACAAATAGAACCAATTTTCATAAAACTCTCCGAGCTAAAAAGTGCACGTTTCAGGATAAATCAAATAATTATTGAAGTACAATACTGATTATTGTCTTTCTTACATTGTTTTCTACATTGATGGATATCTAAGATACCAGATGTACAAAATTTTAAATGTTACATAATAGTGAATGAATAAGACTGAGAGAATGTGGTCGTAGTCAGCTACTTTCTTCCAATCTTCTAAAAGCATTTAAATATTAGTATGTGAAGTTTCGGAAGGTTAAGGAGAGTTTAAAAGTTGATTATCCTAATATATGACCTTTTTCTTTTTTCCTTAGTAGAGAGAAATAGTTATTTAATAACTCCTAGTTTTCACTGATCACTTAGTGTAAGACTATTCATGAGGTAAAATTCAAGTATTTATATAATTTGACCATATTTTTATCAGCAATAATGTACGCTTCTTCCAAAATACAGATAGTTATATTGTTGGTACATATTAGTAAATCATATAATAACATAAAATTTGAACGAAATAGCAAACGTTGAAAGCAGCCATATCGGATCAATCATCAGGAGATATTATGAAACATGAACATATTATGGTTGATATAGTATGCTGTGTCGTATTTGAACACTGCTGAAGAGCCATACATACACAGTCCTTTATAGTTTTCAATGGTTTACATATTTTCCGGTGAGTGTTAAGTAACATGAAAATCATGTCCAAGGTTCTCTATTGGCTACCACCAACTTAAATAAGCGCTAAGGAATCCTCAGTGATTGATCAAATGGTCAACATATGTACACACGCACCAAAACATTCACCTGCTTCCATATTATTCTAAATTATGCCTCTCTACTCAATCCGAACTAAAATGATTACTAGTATACGGACGGATAGTTTAGTGGAGTTACTTTTTAAATTATCCTGATCATAAATATCTGTTTATCCTGACGAGAATTATGAATGGTAACTGTTGAGAACTATTTATGGACCAATACAATACATCTATTTTTATTAGATACTTGTTAAGTAGCTAAACTATGCATATTCATGTTCCTCTTATTGTAAGCTTTATTTTGACCCATAGACTATTATTATGCGATTTACCGTTCTTGAGTTATACCCTGTCTATTTATTTCAGTCTCCCACAATCACAACCACTTTTGACTAGATCTTGTACAAATGTTATTTTCTATTTTATGGTGTCTTTGGTTTGTATATAAACATAATATGTTTGAAATACATGATTCATATCGCTGAGGCTGAGAGTTGTGTTCTGAACTCAAGAGGCAGGGTTAGGGAGGAAGAAGGACCGATAAAGACTCCAGACTTCTCGTACGGTTTTATGCGTCATTGAACCGGTAGATAAATCACTGTTCTCTAATTGGCGGTATCATTACGTCATATATTAATAGGGCACAAGGCCACAATTTATAGCAAATATCAAAGATATTTTCAGATAAATTATTAATCGTTAAACTTATTTTAAATGATTATCTTATGGCCTACAATCAAAATCAAATTTATCATGAATTAACTGGAATTAGTTAATATCATTAATTGTTCATTATTCTGACCTCATTAAATATTAATTCCTACAATAACACCAAAGAGGCTTTATTTGATCATTTCTATTAACCATTATTATAAATTTGATAAAATGAATAAGTAATTATAGCTAGTGAATATAATAAAGGGAAAGTTTCATTACGATTCAATATCAACCTGGATATTAGTGAACCAATCATTCACTTTTTAAATGGGAACTCATGTGCCACTTCCTTGTTTCTGACACAGCGAAGGGATAATTCTTCGTCGAGCTAATGTAAATAAAAGTAATGTTCTCGGTAACCTAGAAGGAAGGTGATAGAGCCCAAGGGACAACTGCTGAGGTCAGTAATATCCGATTTTGCTGAGAATGGTTCCCTGTGCGTTAACTCTACAAAGTAAAGTCTTACAACATATGACGAAAATCTGCGAAGAAATTTAAGATCTTTTACTTCGAGGACTAGACTTTCCTAACCTTTCCCTGCTGTAGTGAATGGGCTCTATCTGAGAGAAACATCCTACTTCCATCACATGCCCGTACACTCAGATTACATCGGGACTCTTATTTTAGTCATATACAAATCTTCGTAAAGGACAAAGTGTAATAGGATCTCATGGTCCTCTAGCCAATATTAGTTAGTAAACAAACCTAGCAACGTGCATGTGACTTTATAGGTATATAACATAGATTTTACCATTATTATTATTATTATTATTATTATTATTATTATTATTATTATTACTTTCAGATTCGTCAAAATATTTCACATCAGTACAAGTGAGTTATGATGGGAGAAGACTCAATACTCTAATGATTATGACAGAAAATCAGATAAGTTATGTAATTTATTCTATAGGTTATTAAATAAAGATACTATTCAATGTACAAATCTTCATAAAACCCTGCTTACTAAACTATGGTGGTCAGCTCTCTGATGACTTACAAAATGATATTCCTGACCGATGGAGTAAAAATATGTCTACGGTGAAAAGGTTGTTGTCAAGCTATGTCAGTAATGATTAAATTTGAAATTGTGCCACTCGATTTGAATTCAATAATCCTAATGGTTCACCGTTCTCTGCGAGCCCTGAAGGTGCTAGGTTGTAGATACCCACTACATGAAATTCACATTCTAGGTCAAAGAGCTGTACATTGCAATGTAGTTTTCAATGGTTACTCAACTGAAGTCAATGTGTGATAAACACAACCTATCATCTAATCCAATTCCATAAAATCCATTGAACTAAAAATATGGTCACAATTTTTTTTCAAAAATTAATTTCGATTCTAAAGAATAAATTTTTTATTTTGTGAATAAAATTCATTTTTAGATTATTTCTTACATTACTCATAAGTAGGACATAAGTAATAACTGAAATTTCAGTATTATTATTTACCACTGTCATTTTACAAATTACCCATTTTCATATTTCCTATTCAATATTACTCTTTATTAACCGGACAGAAATTGAGATTAAGTATTTGAAATTTTAACCCTAATATTTGTTAGAAGCATTTACTAAAAGGATTCAATCCAATGAGAAAATAATCGAATTATCTTTTGTTAACATAAAGCTTTCATTTAGTATTTGTGAGTTTGTATTTGGTTATATGATTCAGTTACCCAGAATGTTATTTAACAAACGTTATCTTGCGATTAATAATAAATTCATTTCACTATTTTTTAAAAATTCAATTATAAGATTGATGATAGAAATTAACTAATTTTCTGCTCATAAAAGCCATGTATAAAAATTTTGAAGTGGAATGACTCACTCTGAAATATCGTCGATAAGACATTTTGGTTCTACCTACGCTTAATTCAGATAGCATAAACTGTTAATATAAATATTATATACCCACTTCTAAAAATGGATGTAGTTCGGTTCTGGTAAGTGTGATTTAGTGATATTTTAATCCTACAAGATTCTACTATGTAAAACATACCAAAATTACTCAACAACGAGGAAAGAGAATCTGTGTATTATAACCTTGATCTGTCTGCACACTTGTCTGTATTTAGTGTGCAGAGAGGAGACAGTTGTCTCAATCTAAGTTGCTGACTTGATGTAGCTGGTATCCTAGTAAACTTTGAAAGTTATAAATTTTGCGCCCGACCTTGAGGCTACTGACCCAAAGACCTGATTGTGTGGCAAGTGGAGCAAGAAGACAACTTAACTGGAACTGTATACCCGAATTAGTCTTAAGTCAGCCAACTTAAAATAAACACATGAATATATGATTAAAAAAATCACAGCACGCAGGGGATAAGGAAAATACTTTTGTATCCAAATAACCCAGTAATTTTGAAATAGAAAAGAATACAACAGTAATTCATACATTGAAAGAGAGCTCATGACACGTGAAATAAAGCACGTACAATCACAAACTTCACAGATTTCAAGTTAAGCCAGATGATTCTCCAAAAAGTGCCCTTGTTGTCCGCCACTGCTTTTTTATTCCTCTCTTCATATTCTTGAGATTTAAACTGAATAGGTGTCCATACACTCTTATCTCTGACTTGAATGACAAGATATTAAAACGATTGGACTTATTTATTCGTATTAAACATTTTGATCGAATTCGTTCCTTTGCATTACTTAAACATATGATAAGTCAAACAATCCTATTTATTTCACTTGGTATTGTTTTACTTGAATCTACCCACTGATGTTTAGGACTGAAATTTATCAAGCTCTTATTGGTATATATGCATACTGTGCGTATTGACTCGATATTGCCTTACTTTACAGGCATTATAAGCAAAGATAGATAGGAGCTAGCAGTAGCTAAGGGGATAACGCGATGCTATTTGAAGCGAACGGTATTGGGTTCGAGTCTCGGAGTGAACATCAACTTAGATGCAGGTACATCCAGCTGACGAGTCCCAAATAGGACGAAACGCACGTCCTGGATCCCACTGCTAAACACTATCGACCTATGCTTATAATCCCATTTCTTATTTAAGTTATATTCATAATAGATTTTTCTTAGTTCGGATAAGATTGGAAATCCATGTATACTAGACAACTGCTTTGTCATAGAATGGAACTTTCATATGCGTACACTATTGACTATTCACAAATCAGGCCAATCACAGAAAAATTAATTCAAATAAACCAAAATAATATTCAGCTTAGTAGTGAATCAATTCAAGATTTTATTGATGTTCTAACGGTAAATTATGAAGATTGTCCCGCTTATTGGAATCGTACAATGAAATTTCTACCCATATGTTCTACTGTTCAAGGTTTCACAATGTGACCTAAATAGCTTTGGTATGATACTCAGTGGTTTTGTGTGTGGAGGTCGACATGTTTTTTCAGTACTTCATGGTTTTTAGTGATAACTCAACTATGAATGGTTTATGATGAATACAACCTGTAAATTGAAGCGGTCTTGACTAAACTCCTTGAATTAAATTACGGTCAGTTACTCATAACTTTTGGTTGTTTGGATTTTTCTATTGATGTTCTGTATCGTAAATCATCTGTCTGTTTTAGTATATTTGCATGCAGTGCGAACTGCCTCAATATTGCCACAAAGTCATGAACATTTTAGTCAGAAATGGGTGGTGATTAACAGTAGGGGGGGGGCTCTTCAGCTAGATGTACTTGCATACCAGATTTAATACCGATTCCACGACTCTAAATCAGTACTACTCACATCACACATCATCTTGTTATCCACTTATCCTACAAAAAGCTGCTTACATTAAGTTATGAAATAGCATTTCATTTTCCTACTTATTCGAATATTACAATTATATCATATTTATTATTAATAGTCAACTGAACGCTTATTAATACTTATATTGATGTGTTTCTTACAGGTGCAACAAATTATGAAAAACCTTGTTTATATTTCACCTCACATAATTCCATCTGTGGTTAGCAGTGATAGAATAATCCGGTCGTTAAATCGTTAGACCATAGTACTTACAACAAACTAAATATTGAAGATAATTGTAGAATGCTTTTTAAACGCAATTTGGAACATGTCCATCATATATATATATATATATATATATATATATATATATATATATATACATATATATATATATATATATATATATATATATATATATATATATATATATATATATATATATATAATTGTATATGGCTGAAAGTCCACTTAATCACCATACTATTTCAAACTACAGAACTTCACATAAGTGACTGACATGTTTCTATAAATTCGACCAATAATCTTAGAGTACCTTTTTTTAAATAAAATTGAACTACTCATGCATGAGTAACGGAATGTTAATTTTGAATAATAATTTTTATAGCATGACATGGACTAAATGAAATTACTATGAAATAACAATTTGATAAATACTTTTTAAAAACATACTAAGTAGATGGTTAAGACATGCCAACTGATGCTAAACATTTTCTTCCGCTTTCTCTAGAAACATCAGCAACTCCATCCCGTAGAAAATATCTTGCTAAGAAGACCCCAACCAGATTAACCGAATTTCACAGTTAATATGTTATTATTAACCTGAGTGAGATGGAATCGAATCTCCCTTGGAAAATCAGTTTCCTCACGATTACAGGCAGATGTTGCTCACGCAAAATATCATGAAACCTAGGTCTAAATTATCCAGTCTACTTCATCAAACCATCTTAATTAGGAAAATTTAACCAAAAAGCACCCTGTATATAAAAGATTCCTTTTTCCAAATATACTTTTTATCTACTACAGCTCAGTGAATCATTGGCCGCTAGTTATGAATAATCAGATTTCACATATTTCCCCCAGTTATCAACGTATATATGAACCCAATAAAATCTAGTTTGTTTCAAATAAATTGAGCATTGTGTAAAGAGCTAAAATGATAAATAACCGAATTCGATTATTTATTTTCTCTGAAGAAGTGGTTTAAATCAAGTCACGACACATCAGAAATATAATTTTTTTATTCATTGGGTTATAACAAAATATACATAAATATATTAAAAAAATTTAGTTACAAAATTAATACTATTTATAAGTAGGTTTTGCCAATTACCAAAATAAATCGACATTTAGTTAACTCGAATGGCTTAGAATACATGTGATTTTATAGCCTTGAATGTTACTCCAGAAAAGCAAAATGTTATGCAAAAATTCATCGTTGAAAACCAACTGACGTTCTCATTTAAAGGAAATAAACGTACATTTCGAAAATTAGACGAGGTCTACATAAGTTTAAAGCTGGTGTTGTACAAGCAAATCTGCGCAACTGAATATTCTACACATGTTATCTGAAGTACAAATGCAGTGTTAAGATTTATGTACGCATAAATCGTCTAAGACTTTGTATTTTCTTTAATTGTAAGTACTTCAAGTTTCAGTTGATCAGTCCTTCTTAACATCAAATTAAATTGAACAGACTTCCAGTGCGTAATTGACTCTATTTTAAATAGTGTCTAGCAGATAAATATAACAAATGGATTTTGTACTAAATAAAGTTCCTCAACTGAATGCACCTGTATTATAGTACTGCAGTTCATAGTGAAACTCACTAGTTCGAGAGATTATTCTCTTACATTTCATGATATGCATTCAATGTTTACAGTTTTCATAGGAGCATAAACATTAGACCACAAGTACTATTCAATTAAATTTGACTTTTTAATGATCCTCATCTACGAAAGCAATCATAATTATATTTATTACCAAACTGTACTCAAATTCTTTTCTATTTATGTAAGAATTCATTGATGAAAACACAAACCGAATATACTCATATTTTTAGTCAAAACCTTCCAAGTAGTAAACTTTCAGAAATGGGATGGAAAAATTACTCTTAAAATTGGTCATTTTGAATAACTTAAAATAGGCCACTTCGTTTGTTCCAAACGTGTACAATAATTCAAGGTTAATTGTTTAAGCTCATAGCCAACTTATAGTATGGAAACGTCCTTTCCTTTGAATTTTACAAATAATTTTATATAATACTATACTCCAGTCAATCACGCCTGTAATTCATGTTTCATAAATGAAATTAATAACTTTGGGTGTATCATATTTTTTGTTCAATATCCAATATCTATTAAGTTCATCAAAGTAAGGCTTTGTTATGATAATAATAATAATAATAACTCGATAATAGATTTGAATATACATGTGCTCTGACTTCTAACATGTTTAGTAAAGATTCTTTTTGAACACTGTGTAATCATGTAAAAACTGACATAACGAACAGTGGCTTAGTCTATTGAAGTGTTATAGACACATGAAATTGATTGTCTGTGACATCCTATTACATTTCAAGAAGGAATAATTATATTCTTACTCTATTCTTCCCCCCCTCAGATTACTACGTGACCTTATTTGATAATTGAAGTTTCGATTCAATTTATGATGCATCCTATTCTATCCTTCTATAGATATATATTTACTATGCAACCATAAATGGGAATTTACAGTTTAAGTAAATGGTTTCGTCGAAAAGAAACCTTTCTTCGTTGAATTCTCTTTATTATTATTTTTATTCAATGACACAATGCGTTATAATGATTATATGATTTAAGTCTGTTAGTTATACATGCTTAATTGTACTTTTGTTGATTGATTGACGTTAAATACTACTCAGTTCAATTCATACAAATCTGACTGTAAGTCAATCGTATAGAAAAGTGATGTATCCTTTTTAATCACTTTGCTTACTTCCCAGAGTCAAATAAACTCTTGTTACGGATCTTTGCCTTTTACTACACTTAGTAGGATTCGACGGTCCCAGTACAAAGCATAATCTAACTCCCCAGACACAACAATGAGAGATATAAGACTAACAAACCTGTATGAATGATAATAAGCTTCTATTCATTACAAATCGTCTCACAAAATAACTTGATGAATTCGTTCTAATAATTAGTAAGCACTGAGGTATTTAGTACTGATGAACGATGAACATATCAGTAGTATGTTCAACTTGTTATACACTAAAGTTTCATTTTATTATATATTGTTGGAATAATTCATTATAGAAAGTATTTTGTATAAGTTTAATAAATGATAAGGTTTAGGATTAATCATTTCGTAAATAACATGGGATTATCGTTAGTATGATCCCTATTTAGACAGTTGAATTCACAAGTCGATCTAAGCTAGAAAACCATTAGAAACCTGAATGCAATGGATGGCCGTCCCGTCCTAGTATGGGACCCACTAAAAGTGTACACCCACAGCCCCAAACGCGAGACCCCAACCCGGGTCCTTCGGTCTCACGAGCGAACGCTTAACCTTTAGACCACTGAACTGACATCTATAGATGTTAATATTTAACTTCAGTCGATCCATGATCTTGCGCATCCATTGTTTGAGGTGAATAATTGTCTCACACGCGACACAGAATGGACTCCAGCTGTCACAGCTTCTCAATAGAACTCCAGGAGATCTATCTTGATTGTTATGCTAGATTTTATAGTGCATATAATAAACAATATGACAGTATATTTTTTAATGTGGTTCTACAAAGGTTAGATGTAAGAGGTCAGGAGTTCCATTCTTGAACATCATGCATAAACTTCTGTTATTTTCACTTCATTGATTTTGAATTCATATATATCCCACTCCCGTTTATTATTTCTTATATCGCTGTGATTTTATTCAATTGTTTCTGACATCATTGATTTACTCATTATGATTTTTATTCAACATTACTTCCCTTCTAATTCATTGTGATGATTACTCAGTATAGTATTTGTTTCATTTCCCCCTATGACATTTTATTCTGTATAACATACAATATTCTTGTATTTGATGAACATAAACTATATTCAGCATATGATTTGTTATAACTGTAAGTATTTTTCATATATATGATTCTATTCTAATTATTAATCAAAAATGGGTGTACAAATGAGTGTATGTCCAACTAGTCTTGTTGTGGTTGTTCGTGCTTCTGCCTGCTTGCGGAATATATTTCTCTCTTCAAACTTAGATCGGTAGTATTCGATCTGCACTAATAAGGACTAGACGAGCATGACATTGATCACCACCCAGTGATCAATCAATTATGATTACATCTCAGTCCTATAGGAGGTCAGTCGCGGCTCGGATGGCTCAGTGGTAACGTCTCTGACTGTGAAGCTGGGTGACACGAGATCGAATCCGCCAGGGAGCCCCAGTTCCCTTAAGATTACAGGTACACCTTGCTGACGAGTGCCAAGTAGCACGAAACCCGGGTCCAGGGATTCCTGTTGACTACCTCCAACCACCATCTAAACTTAGACTTCACTCTAGTTAGCTGGGCTGGGACGTGACGGAGTAGCTAGCTTATCTGGCATTGTGTCACAGAGTCTTCGTTCTGTTCTCAGATTAGGTGAACTCGTAATCTCTTCAAACATAACAACATCTCTGTTTACATTGATAATACGTTCGTTGCAAAACTACAGTCTTCTTTGTACTGAACACCTTATAAAGAAACTTTGCATTCATCATGTGGTAATTGAATGTTTAATTCAAATATTTTAAGTAAGCTGTCTATGTATTCATTTAAAAGTTTCATGTTTATTTTGTTTCATTGACCGAACAGGATGTATTGATTCAAAAATAGATGTTCTGTTAAATTCTTAATACAGGAATAGAAAACCTAAATAACATCGACCATGTTCTATAGTGCCTTTGTAAAATAACTTGACAGTTTCATGTGTTTCTTATGACTGTAGAGTAATGAACACGTGTTATACATTTACCAACTGTTTTCTTTGTTGAAGTAATAAAATTACAAGCCTTTATTCTGGACTAAATGGTTGATTACGTGTGCACTGACTGGAGACCAAACTCAAAAATCATTTTTCTTCATATATGAAGCAGAAAATCCTAATTAGTTTGTATTTCCTTGTTCTTCTAGTAAACTGCATCCATTAACTTAAAATATTCATAAATTTCAACATTATCAACTAGCCATATTTAATGTCTAATTGATGTTTGTATCTTGTTCGAAGAAATGATATGCTCAGACAAATTAATTTCAATTAAATACCTGAATATGTGTGGTAATGTTCTTATGAAACAGCATGAAAAGTTAGATGAGATCACTGAGCCACATTCTGTTGTCATTAAATTGATGACAGTAACAATGTAAATTAATTCATCTAACTTGTGTACATTTATGATACATGCACCAGATGTAAAGGCTGGTTATACTATCTGGCTGGCAATGTCGATGACGTAAGAGCAAAACTGAAACTGTAACCTAGTGATTTAAACCTGTGTATTAACCACTCTAACATTATCTAGCCTTTCTGATAATGGACAATTACAGTATCAAAAATGTATTGATTATGTTAATGTGTTAAACGTTAATGACATTAGCTTATCTCATATAAAAACAACATCAATTAGTTTTAAATTCTTATTGCTATACACTTAGAATTAAACAGGAAATATCAAACTGTTTGATGTTCTCTCTCGAAGAAGGTGTATAGTTCACTAAAATATCTTGTTATCAATTCCTGTCATTAAATTTCAAATCATTGACAAACGTATGCACATACGTCTGTAGACCGTATTGGCTTGAACTAATATCTTTTGAACCGAGGAAACTATAGGAACTCGAGATCCAAATGGAAAATGTTTTGGCATATAATAAAATTGTATAATAACTTAAAACAATGGAACGCTATTTCTAAATGAAGTCTCAAAATTGGAAGAAATGAGATTTTGCAAATATGCGATGACATTTTTTAGGCATGCTAATAAAGCTTCAATATGAGATTTTATGTTGTTAGAGTGCTTTGATCCTAAAACTTCCGTTTAGGCTGGCTTCCCTATCATCCTGATGATATAGAAATATATTCCACTTAGGTTCTTAGTATGTGTGTTTATACACCACAGAATATAGCTATTATTCAAATTGCAGTCCTTAGTCCTGATAAAAAAGCCCAGTTTAAGGAAAAATCACCCTCTTGTAGGTTACAAAATCATTAACCATGCTAGTAGACATATACGTAACAGAAATAAACTAACTGAACTGTCTATTATTCGCATACATATGATCATGGATTAGCTAGTGTCCTCCTAGTTTAAATCGTAACTAACGTGAGAACGATCAAATTAAAAAAAGAGGTAGTTTTAAATCTAAAAATAGAAACCTTTTAAATTTTTTTATGATTGGCAATCAATGATACTTACGTTCAAGTCTCTTACGTATGCATTTTTTTCACTGATACAGCTAGCAACAGGCAAAGGCAAAACTATCCTATAGATATTTACATAATAACGTATTGAAATTTCAAAAAAGGAGGTTGAAACTAATTTAAAAGAAGGAATTTTTCTCTGCCTCTTTTTGAAATCTTAATATCCACAGAGAAGGAAATAAAAATTTAAGTACTTTTACAGATAACTAACAAAAAATCTATATTTGATAACCTTTATGATATAACTGCTAATCACTCGATAATTTATGGAGAATATTTGATACAATTAAGGTTTTATAATTTACAAGTGATTTTGTATCTACGTCTATTACTACTACTACTACTACTACTACTACTACTACTACTACTACTACTACTACTACTACTACTACTACTACTACTACTACTACTACTACTACTACTACTACTACTACTACTACTACTACTACTACTACTACTACTACTACTACTACTACTACTACTACTACTACTACTACTACTACTACTACTACTACTACTACTACTACTACTACTACTACTACTACTACTACTACTACTACTACTACTACTACTACTACTACTACTACTACTACTACTACTACTACTACTACTACTACTACTACTACTACTACTACTACTACTACTACTACTACTACTACTACTACTACTAATACCATTGTTAATAGTAGTACTGGTAGTAATTTCCGTTATTTCATCTTTCAATGTTATTCTAAACAGTTGTCTGCTTTTTATTTGACCCGTAGTCAGAACCACCGGTCTAACGTACGAACTCATGACCGTGATTTAATCTATGAAAATTTAACGATCTCTAAAGAAAGCCCTATTCCGTAATTAGTAATTATCACTGAGCTTATTTATTGACGATTTTGAAATAGTTGCTTGCTCAGTTTATTGTTTCACACGGTAAAGTCACTATCATCTTAATCCTTTGTTTTAGTAAACTAGGGCGAAATACAACTTATGAGAAAGATGTGATTTTCGATATTAGATACAAAATTGGAATAAACAACTACTGTATTGTGTAATGTAAATAGTACATTTTAAACCCAATAACAATATGACATCACTGATAAATGGATTAGTGCTTTTTATTTTGAAAAAATTCAAATTTTCTTATTCATTTGAGTCTTATACTCGATGGACAATGAAATCTGTTTGTATAGTATGAGCAAAATGTTAAACTAGATTTTCTCCTTAAGTTATTAACTACTTCATAACAATAATGATACATGAGTAGATATTCTCTTACTTGTTTTGTTTGAAGTATTATCTAACTGTATTTTATGACGTCTGACAAATAATTTCTCTCATCGGTTATGTATTTTATATACATCAAACAAGAAAAACCAATTTTCATTTCAATTTGAATTGGGCGGCCTGCTTGAGCATCTGGGCTACCTGTTCCTGTCATCTAAATATTTCAACAAGTTATCTATTTTTGTTTGTTTTAATATATCATTATGTATATTAATCGCATAACCCATCCTTGTGCATTTCTGAAAAGTTTACAACCTTTCGTTGTCAAAGTTACTAAAAGCTCAATAAGAGATAATGTGGTCGCTGGCAATATGCAGAGAAAAGAATATACATCATTCAGATGTTTATTTACTGGACTGCTAACATCTAACTGGCTATCACTCAATATTTATCGTCAGGATCGACCCAGAAGAAAGAAACGGAAACTTGTTGAAATACTTTGTGCTGAGAATTCTATATTGTACTGAAAATATAATATTGAATAAAGTTTATAATAATAATAATAAAAAAGAAGTGTATTCATATTCTAGATGGATAAGGTATAAAAAACGGATTCCTGGTGAATGGTATGCCACTTTAAACCATTTACCTACTAACCCTCAAACATTTAATAAAATTATTATTATTATGCAGCTGTATGGAGTAGTCACTGAAGCATGGACAGACGTGAATAATCTTTGGTGAATTCAGTGGTCATTATAGTGAACCAACTAATTATATATAATATAGTCCTATATTACATTATCGAAATTCGTTTAATGTTTATTGTTCCATTGGTAAATAAATAATTAAAGCGAAATCATTTAATAATCATGGAAAACCAGTCAAAGTGGCATTTCCATCGTTTAGGGTTACTTAGTATAAATTATTCAATAATTCACATAATACCAACCAATCTCAATTTAATTTGTAATGTAGATGTCAATGTCAAGGTTCGACTTGATAATTGGGTACACAGTTAATAATAAATATATTTTCGTTATATCCCGATGAATAGAAAAAAACTATATTTCTGACGTTTCGTTGCTTAATGTAGGCCGCTTCTTTAGAGTAAATGAATAACCGAACTCGGTTATCTAGTTTCTACTCATTAGGATAAAACAAAATTATATTTATTTATGAATTTTGATTATCCCATTGTTGATATTCTGACTGAGATTAGATCAGTCTTATTTGGTATATGTTCATCCTGTGCAGATTGTCTCAATATAGCTATTATGCATACAGTCACATCCGATTGACGAGTAATAAATAGGCATAAGTGAGTACTTTGTACTCTACTGCTTGTCTTTTTACTTCTATCCTGTGTAAACCAACCAACTTCGTTTTCTTCTCTTATTGTACTACACACACGACTTTCAGTGAATAACAAGTAATAGTTTCATCTATGACTGTAGTCTTTCAACATTATATAAGTCCTAAACATTTCAACCATCTCTTGTAATTATCTATGAACATTACTTCATATGGAAAATAGCCTACTTCATATTGGTTTATTATTAGTGATTTTTATGTTTCGGTTCACCATTCATTTTCTACAACTGTAAAATAGTTCATCACGACTAGTGAATATGAAAACAAAGGCGAAATAATCATTTACGCAATCATATCACCTAGGATACAGGCTATAAATCTACCAACTTAACAAAACGAGTGTATTCTTCTCAAAAGTTTCTTTTGTTTTTTAGGTCAAGATGGTACAAAATAAATTATTCATTATTAAATATTGAACCGTGTACTACTTCATACCTGAGTATTATTTTCTTTTAATCCATATGTTCAAGTTTAGTTTTGTAATCATCACTATATATATTACCAGTGTTTTAGGCATGATTCTGATAAACAGAAATTATCTATAGGTAAAGATGGATAGTGGCTAGCAGTGGAATCCAGGACGCGCATTTCGTTCTATTTGAGACTCATCAGCTGGACGTACCTGCATCTAAGAGTTGGTGTTCACTCTGGGAAGATTCAAGTAAAACAATACTAAGTGAATTATAAACTATCTATGACTAAAAAAGATAAATTCAGTTTCAGTCAAAGAAGTTAGTCATAATCCACTTCAATTCCAGTTGTAAAAAATAACCTAATTTGAATCTCTGCTATAAAATAGAAATAAGATTTAAGTCATTATGAATTCGCCTACATCTACGAACAATGATTTTAATAGCTCAGCTAATATTTATGTTTACAAAAGACTATTATAGAGTAAAACCTGCTATTTAAGAAGCTAGAAAAGTCAAATAAGTACCATATTTTATCGGTATTAATCAATTGGAAAAGTTCAAATAGCTAAATCCATAGACTAAAAGACTATAACATGTACTTACTTACTTACGCCTGTTACTCCTAATGGAGCATAGGCCGCCGACCAGAATTCTTCAACCCACTCTGTCCTGGGCCTTCTTTCCTAGTTCCATCCAATTGTTGTTTATTCTTCTCATGTCTGTTTCCATTTCTCGGAGTAATATGTTCTTTGGTCTTCCTCTCCTCCTTTGGCCTTGAGAATTCCAAGCGAGGGCTTAGCTTGTGATGCAATTGTGTGCTTCCCTCAAAGTGTGTCCTATCCACTTCCAGCGCTTTTTCCTGATTTCTTCCTCCACTGGAATCTGGTTTGTTCTCTCCCACCATAATATGTAATACATAGTAGACCTCAATATGTGCTTAAGTAAGACATTATTAATATAAATCTGGTCAACAAATTTGTTATTGATAAAATACAGTTAATGAATGTTAAAAAATGTTGAATTAGTCAAACGTTATCTTACAATTAAGGTAATATACAAATACCAGAAACCATCTATTGATTTTATGCATACACAGAAAATATACAAATTAATTTCACTACAAAAAACGCTTTCAATTTTTATATTTTCAGAATGTGTTTTGTGGAGATTTTTTTTTAGAAATTTTCACAGATTGAACTCATGAGTCAGTTGAAGCTAGACCACCATTGAAAACCTGGAAGCAGTGGACGGCCGTTTCGTCCTAGTATGGGACTCCTCGGCAGTGCGCATCCACGACCCCGCACCACCCGGGGCTCGAACCCGGGACCTACTGGCTTCGCGCGCGAGCACTTAACCATTAGACCACTGAGCCGGCATCTAACGGTGTTAATGTCTAACTTCAACCAATCCACGAAGTTGCGCTACCGTACACCATTGTCTTCAGTGAGTTCCTATCTCACAACAGACCTGGTTGAACTCCACTGGTAACGACTTCTCACTAGAACTCCAGAAGTGTCTCCCGAAGTCAGTCACTAGTGAGCAGGTGATTGTTATTATCAGAATGTGTTTTGTGGAGATTTTTTTTTTAGAAATTTTCACAGATTGAACTCATGAGTCAGTTGAAGCTAGACCACCATTGAAAACCTGGAAGCACTGGACTGCCGTTTCGTCCTAGTATGGGACTCCTCAGCGGTGCGCATCCACGACCCCGCACCACCCGGGGCTCGAACCCAGGACCTACTGGCTTCGCGCGCGAGCACTTAACCATTAGACCACTGAGCCGGCATCCAACGGTGTTAATGTCGTGGATGCGCACTGCTGAGGAGTCCCATACTAGGACGAAACGGCCGTCCAGTGCTTCCAGGTTTTCAATGGTGGTCTAGCTTCAACTGACTCATGAGTTCAATCTGTGAAAATTTTATATTTTCCCCGTACATAACAAATTCCATACTAAACTTATAGTAAAAGTGTTATTATTATGAAACAAAAGTTCCATTTTCATGACAAATCAATATTTTATTATCAGAATGGAATTCGTGAAGATTGTAGAAATTTTCATAATTGAATTCATGAGTCGATATAAGCTAGACGGTCGTTTCGTCCTAGTACGGGATCAGTGATGCGCACTGCTGAAGAGTCCCATACTAGGACGAAACAATCATCCAGTTCTATCAGGTTTTCAATAGTGTTCTAGCTTACATCGACTCATAAGTTCAACTATTAAAATCAAAATTTATCACTTAAGATTGATTTTTTTTCTAAAATGGATTTAAAAAACGTAATCATACACATAATATATTAGACCAAAATGCCATTACACATGAAGTGTTCTTTTTAAACTACACAGTTTATAATTATGCACTTTTGACTAAATACATATTTTTATTGTATCCCATAAATTTTTTTAAAACGTCTACACGTACAGGAAAATCAGTCTCTAAATGTTTTCTACGCTTATCTATTTCTATAAAAAGTGTTTGTGTATAAACGCGTGTATAAAAAAAGGATATTAAAATACAGTTACAGACAGACATATAGAAAGAAGAATAAAGCTTGTGTATCAGTACAAGTTCCCACATATATTTAACGTCATTGCGTGAAAGTTAAACCAATGAAACGAGATTACTACGTAGTCTATTCAATAAATTTACGGTAATTGAGGTCTTGTTATTCATTACTTTTATTCGAAAAAAAAATGATGTGAGACGTCAGATTTCGGTCACTTAAGATTTCTCCCGGTACCAAGTTTTATACTTCATCCCTTGTTATATGATTCAAGTTGATATTGTAATCGAAAAATTGTGATTAATCATTTTTAATCAAGTTCCATTAACTTCAAAATGATATTTACATTTAAGTTTCTCTAGTAATGCACTAGAATAGATGATTTTCTTAAAAAACTTAGGTCACTGGTAAATATCTGGAGAATGGATATTTGATGAGAAAGTTTCTTAGATGTCTTTCAAAACAGATGATTAACAATCGTATATATAACTAACAACTATAATAATTCAGAATGCATATTCATTGCACAGATCATGCGAATAGTTTCCAACGATTATAAAATGAGAACATAAAAAAACTGGTCTTTAATATAATAATATGATACAAACAGTTTAATGGCTTTTTTCGTTCTCATCCAGGTTAATGATGCTTACACTTTACCATAGATAACTCTATTAGATGATTGAGTCTAATGTACAATTTGCCATATATCTGACGTTTATTCATTACAGTGACTTTTTCTCTTTAAGATTCTGCGTTATTACTTCTTCAATATTGTAAAGAGTTTGATTTTAAAAGATAATTTCACCGATTACCTCATCGGTCGGAATACTCGTCCCCCTCGTCCTCCTCCTCCTCCTCCTCCTCGTCCTACTACTACTACTACTACTACTACTACTACTACTACTACTACTACTACTACTACTACTACTACTACTACTACTACTACTACTAAAAAATAACACTTCAAAATTTATAAATACTAAAGACTAATTATACAAGTTATTATCTTATCTTCGCCAAAAACTTAATTTCCATAAACTTAGCTCATGTAAATACCAAAAACTATCATTTATTCTCAGTCCAACAATTAAAACACTCGGAAAGTGGAATTAGTTATCGCGTGTACTATTAATATTATTTAAACTTACAAAACTCACGTGGTTTTCTAAAAACAAAATATAATACTAACAAAACAATGCATTTCATTATATACACAGTTGTTATTAACTCGTTTGCGGGGATTGATTCATGTACTTGGCTTACTTTAAGTGTAAGAGATAAAGATATTAACTGACTGCCTAAACCAAAGTAGGTAGATCATACATAGTCTGTGGTATACAAGTGAGTAACAGATTTATGAACAATTTATTGTGAAAAATGAAAAATCAATTTAAATTTAGTCATTAAAACAACAGTTGGTTACCATCGTTACTGTGATAAGAAGACTTCAAATTACGTAGTACTTTTTATCAAATGTTGGTTCTCATGAAATGAAAATCCGAGATAACGTTTCTTACTAACCAGCTGTTGACGTATTGAGTTTGCTATTTTTGTGATGCGCCTTAAAGTTATGTCCGTCGCTCTATAAACACTGTTGTTTTATAGAAGTTTTGGGCTATAGAGGGAATTTATAATCTTTCCTTGATGCTCTGTGTTATCTCTCACTTATTCATGTATGGGTTATTAGGATCAAGAACATGTAGAGTACCAGTTATCTGTTCTATCTAATTCATACAGATCCCATTCTGTATTAGAAGGATCCACCAATCATAAATATTCGGAGTTGTCATAAGTATAATATATTATCAGGATAGTTACTCGTGTTCTGTTGTTCCTTGATACGGATTTTGATTTTTCGCTTACATCTATTTTTTTTTTACTTTCGCTATCATTAATATAACAATTAATATCGGGAAATGAAATCATCCATATTACTAACATGACATGTCGAGAATACACCTGATTTACACAAAAGTCTGCAAACAGGTGGATATTGTCATTTATCCGTCAATAATTTATTGGCAACTTTTTCATAATTGTATGAATTACGTAGTTTAATAAGGAACTGTCAGCAAGAAGAAATCAGAATCTAAATTTTTTGGTGGCACTTTGGTAAGATCCTGAGTCAATTCAAGTACTTGTTGGTGACATTTTACAACTGTTAACTAATGGTATTTGTTGCATGGGTTTGCATTTTTTCGTTACTGATTGTTCATATATACAAGTGAGTGGTGTTATTCGGCATATATGTATCCTGAGCCAATGTCAAGTTGAATAATAAATGTAATTCATACCCTCTATACATCTACGTATTTACTCGACTCGATAACTCAGTGGATAACGCATCACTATCTGATACAGAAATTACTATGTTGGAATCTCACTAGAATGAACGTGCATTCATCTTATCTGCCTTAAATAAACCAAACATTGCATCCCTGATTCCGGTGTTAGCTTTTATTCAACTTTAACAAAAACCTGTGGAATAACAGCTACGGGAAAATAAATAATATATTTCAAAGGTTTAAATGACGAATGGACCTTAGCTAGACTGTCATCGAAAACCTGGAAACATTAGATAATGTCTTCGTTATAGTGTGAGACTCTTGAATAGTGCTTATCCACTAATTTACATCTAAGAATTAAAATCCGAACCTTCGGTTCAGTGCACAAGTGCTTAACCTTCAGATCACTGACCCAAAATCCATTGGTTTTAATGTCTTACTTCAACTTATTCATATACCCCTTCCTTTCCCCGTGGTAGATAATTGTTTGACACCTGACACTGATTGAACTCCACTGGTTACGGCTTCTCGTTTGAATTACGGAAGTACATCTTGAAACTAATCACTGGTGAAGAAATTATTTTTATAGATATCATTATTATTATTATTGGCATACGAGACTTGTGGAGGTATTAGAATTATCAAAGTGCTTTTAGATTATCAATGATGAGCTAGCTAAAAACTAAGACTAAGACAATCCCTATAAATCCCCCTTACTAATAAGTAATAAATGTTTATCTTTTGTTCTTCAGTTCAATTTCTTAGATTATATTAAACGTGTGATGTAAAATATTCACTTTTTTTTCTAAATAAACAGAAAGATATCCCACTGATTGAACTGTTTATACCATCTGAACTAATAATATCTCACTATGTTATTTGATGTTAAGTGTTGATCACTGAAATAATTGTTCATTTTAATCATTCATATAAACATAAGTTTCTTGATAAACATTTTATCCTTCCTAGAATTTTTGTCCTTTTTAAAAAAACACACTTATAAGAACACTAGATATATTAACTTAATAAAAACACTAATGTTATACTAGTTTCATGATAATTAAATCTTAACAACCGATGTAATTTAATGCGGGGTAAATAGAAACTCATATTCAATAAGAAAAGAAACAATTATGAAACCCCATAGTTGTTAAATCAGGACAGTTGACCATTTAAAGTAAATAAGTATTGCATGAATTTATTACATAACGAACCGAAAACTCTTTGATGAAACAGTTAGTTTATAGAAATGATCATCAAGATTAATGAATGTGATTCTTCGACAAATAGAATTAGCAGAAATAAAGAGACCAATAAACTAGTTATTCCTAAAAAAATATCATCTGTAAATATTAAACAAAAGCCATAACACTAATGGTGAACAAATATTTTTACTTATTTACTGCTATCCACCATAATCTGATATACTTATCCATAATAAAGACACCGATAGTGATATGTACACTAATGTTAATATGTCATGTAAATCTAGGTGATTTGTTTAACTGAAAGTCGAGATATAATCGAGATAAAAAAACAGGTACGAACTTTGATGTTAAGAAGTATCCAACTATCTAAACCAGTACCAAACATACCTCTATAGCTGAACAGATTAAGATTAAGTATTATTTATCAAGAAACAAGATATCAATTTTTCATATGATCTTCGAGTTGTCAGCACTTTTCAACTCAACAAATGTATGAACAAACAACAATATTCTTGCGTTGTTACGTGGTACTATTTAGACTTGGATTAATTTTGATTTGGTTGTTTAATTAGTCTCTGAAGAAGTGACTTACAACAAGTCACGAAACGTCAGAAAATCTTATTTTTCTACTCATAGGGATATTACAGATATATTAATTTAATTATAATAATCTACCCGATGCTCAATTTATTCGAAATTATCAAGTCAAACCTTGGTAACGATACCAACAATACAGTAATATATTATTGATTAGATCACTATAACCACTAAATATGTTTATGGTGAATGTTTTGCCCATAATGCAACATATTTTGGTTTTTCCTCTATACATAAACATACAAATTTAACAGATTTCTATTGTTAATAGTTAAGATCATGAGTCATTTGAAGTTAAACCACTATGGAAAACCTGGAATCACTGGACGGCTGTTTTGTCCTATTATGGGACTCCTCAAATTCGAGTTACTGAATTAAACGCACATGGGTATAAGTAAAACTTAAAAGCATGTGGTAAATGTTACTTATGTTTGTCCATATAAGTAGTATGTAACACAAATCAGAAGTGGAAAACCTGGCAGTGGAAGACTAAAAAGATCGAGTTGAAAAGAATAAAAAGTAAAATAGAAAGGAATTGTGAACTTGAGGAATCAAACAGAATATGAAGGACAAATAACGGAAATTTACAAACAAAGTATTAAGTGCATGATTCTTATATTTCATCAACATACTTTGTAATTTTGTACTTTTTAATAATCTGAAATCTTATTATTAAGTTCAAAGCTAAGATTGTCCATGATTAATTCATATGAAGAAACACATTTTATTCTTAACAATCTGTGCTGATAATACTTCGATTATACGCGCATATTTTGGCTTTCTAGATAAAATGATAACCGGTTAAATTAATTATATCGCTGAATTCGAATTTTTCGTCACAAAAAAATAAAAGTTAGTCACTTGAAAAAAAATTATTACCGGAACTTAATTTCATAAAGTAATGATTTCTCGTCAATAATGTATAAATTAAAAAGCTACAAGTGTAACTCAGTTGTTACCGATTAAAAGATACATACAGTAGAGTCCGATCCATGTCGGATAGAAATAAGTATCTACCTCAGATAATGGATGTAGGGTTGCACAAGATCATGGCTCGACTGAAGTTAGATATTAACGTCACTCGATGACGGCTCAGTTGTCTAGAGGTTAAGCGTTCGCTCGCGAGACCGAAGGTCCTGGGTTCAAGTCCCGCGTGCGATGTCATCAATACTCACAACTGAGGAGTCCATTACTAGAATGAAACGGCCGTCCATTGCATCCAGGTTTTCAATGGTGGTCTAGCTTATATCGACTCATGAGTTCAAGTATTTTAAATCTAAGTAACTTAAAAATTTTCATTATTATGTAAAATAACTTTTGTTAACAACATTAAATACTTGTCATTTATATTTTGTTATGAAAATGTACGGTGCAACTGTGGTTATTCTCAACATTTTCAGCATTCAAGTAAAGTGTTATAATTAGCACTGATATTTTCCTGTTTATTTATTGGATGAGTGTTGCATATAACAGTACAATTTTCATTAGAGGTTTCATTTCGTGATGCAACTTTCACTGTATTCATTATAATTGTTCATTAAGTTGGGAAGCATTTCAATAAAATTCATACAGCAGACAGCTTCGAGGGCTTCTATGTGATAAGTATCAAGCCTTTAGTAAAACTTGCACGCCAATAAACAGCACTCGTTCAGCAAATGAACTGAAAGATACTCGTAAATGCTGGATATATAAAATTCCTTGAACATCGAAAATCGACGAACAAGCCTATATATCGAAAGAAACAACTAACGTCACTAGTTTATTCTTCAAATCCGAATCGATCTCCAGTGCCAATACTGCCTTATTGATCACTAACATACTTTAAACTTCAGAATATTTTTCATCCTCTTTCAAATATTTCTCGACACA